CCATTAGCTGAATGTACTATCAATAAAATCCTGGGTCACAAGTACTCACCTTAATATTTAAAAAAAATAAAAAAAAATTAGTTATTCTTATTATTGTATTATTATTATTAGTAGTTACTAGAACTTTCTAGTTACTTAGTAATCACTTAGTTACTTAGTAATTAGTTACTTATTAATAATTAGTAACTAGTTGCTAAAACCTTCTAGTTACTTAGTAATCACTTAGTTATTAAGTTGCTTAGTTGCTTAATGTTTAGTTGCTTAGTTGCTTAGCTGCTTAGTTGCTTAGCTGCCTAATTGCCTAACTTACAAATATATAAATTCTCCAAATTTGATTAAACAACAGGTATCTCTTTTTTTTTTAATATTGTAAATACATTTTGGAATTTTTTAAAAACAAAAACCTAAAGATAGCCCTTCTTGTAATTACTTTAATAAATAGCTTTTAACTATAAACTATATTGATACTTTTTCTTTAAAATAATTTCTATAAGCAAAGTTTATTACTTTTTTAGTTAATAATATAAAATTATTAGTATTGCATTACCTTTTTCAAACTACCTTAAAGAAGTGTATAGTTTTTTGACAACATTTAACAGAAGCTATACTTTTTTTTTAAATATCATATATATCTGTAAAAGATTTTCTATGTTATGTTATTATTATAGTATAAAAATTAAAAAGCTTTTACTTATAATAATACTAATAAGATGTGGCAACTTAGTGATGTAAATAGGTTGCCAATCCTTTAAGTAGCAGATTGTAAGTTCAAAATTCATTAACTGCAAAAATTTAAATAATTACTTATATAATACTTGATCTATATTATAATAATAGCATTCTGTTGATTAGTTAAGATAAAATATCTGTAACTATAGTCATATTAGTATAACTGGCAGGTTATAAAGCATCTGTGTAATCTTGGTTATACAGAAAGATACAAATCAGTACTGGGCAATGCAAACTCAAGATAAGTTCTTTTGGTTTGTAAATTCATAAAACTAAAAAAAACTAAAACCTTTTAAAAACTTTTAAGTAAAAAGATAACACAAACTTTTAACAGTACTATTGTAAAGGCTAGACCAAAGAAATAAATACTAATATAAAAAAATCATATAGACAAAAACCTCTAAATAAAAGATATCACTAATCAGACTACTGAATTGAACTAGAAAAAAAGAATATTAGATTGAAATTAATATAACAGAGACAGATTATAGTTCTTTTAAGCTATTTGAATTAGAAGTTTAAAAACAAAGCAAAAGTATACTAAACTACTAGAAATTTGTTATAAAGTAAATACTAAGATACAAATAAACTTTGCAAGAGCATAGTTTTGTTAAGATCTGTAGAATAGATAGGTAACTTAGCAGAAAGGTTTTTTGCATCTTACTGCTAAATGATAACATTGCTATAGTCTTGATAACAGTACAAAAAAGATAGTATCAAACCTAAATGGTTCTTAATAGAAGGCAGCAACAGAGTTAATCAGCTTTAGTGTAAAATAATTAAAGATATATAAGTACTAATTAGATAAGCCAGAGAGTTTAAATAAAATATTTACAAGCAGAAGTTAGATATAACAGATATTGGTAACTTTAAAACAGAACTCTTAAATAAATAATAACTAAGTTGTATATATAGCTAGCTGTACTTTTATAAACTATATATAAGGGAGGGTCGGGTATTCTAACACAGGGAGTATTGTGGCACACTCATGTTTTTTGGCAATTTCTCATGACACAGTAATCTGAATCGAATAATTTTAGTATCATTCGATCCGTCTTATCAAGACACATTGAATGATACAAAAATCACTTTATTTGGATTATTAGAGTGCAAGAAATGAGAGAAAGTTGTGCAAGTATTATGCTATTTCTTCAATTTTAAATAAAGTTTATTATGTATTTTCTTATTTGGATAATAATGCAATATATTACATAGTATGTTTTAACGAGGATCAGTAACCTTCAGATAGAAAAAAAATTATAAAAGGAAGTCTGAACTCTTTAAAAACATTAAAATACGAAAATATTGAGTTTTTTGATTTGATAATTAACATTCGAGAACTATATATTCATATGAACTTGTGTTTAATAAAGAGAATGTTAATAAAACAGAACTCTAACCTATCACTAAAAATTATATTTGAATTAAACTACTAGTTTGCGATTGTTTTTTTTTTTTGTTTTCTATCATAAGCAATTCTATCCTTTAATAAGTAAATCACCTTTGTGCAAATTTGCTAATTTCATAATAGATGATTTTTTCTTCTTTTTGTTATTAGACAACTAATGGGTCTAAGCAATGCTATTTCTGTAAATAGCTAGTTATAGCGATATTATCTTTATATAAGTTTACTATTTTGTAATAACCGAATTTTTTATTAAACAATTAACAGGTCTAAACAGTGCTATTTTGTAAACAGTTATTATAAACAAAGATATCATAAATCTAATCACGTTGTAAATAATCTTGTGATTGTTATATGATTCAACAAAAAAATTATAACTACATATAAAGACAATCGCGATCACAATTACGATCACAAGAATGAATAATTGCATTTATATGTTATCATTATTGCGTACAAATAAAGCAATTATGATCATAATCATGATTGTAACTACAAACAAATAGAGTTATAATCATGCGAAAGATATAAATTGTCCTAAGTTTTGCAATTAAAAAAAAAACAAAAAAATAAATAAAAATAAAAAACTAAAGACTAAAAATATAAAAAAAAAACAAAAACAAAATGTGCTTCAAAGTCACATCCAAGTCCAAAATTATGTCCAAGCCCAAACTCATAACCAAACCTACTATAACTAAATCAAATTCTCAATTAAACCAAACTGTGTGTATAAAAGCTATTGAGTCTGCTCTTAAAGCACTTTTTAGCCCTAAATGACCTAGCATTCGAGTGATTGCATTAAGATTCGGAATTCCATTGATAACTTTAAGCCATGCAGTTAAGAATAATGGCTCACCCGACCGTCATGGCCCTGCAACAATCTTAAGTGCTTATAAAGAACAACAATTAGTTGGTTATTGTAAAAATATGCAAAAGTTAGGGTTTGGTCTTACAAGGTCAGGTGTTAATTACTGCATAATGAACATTGTAAAAAGTAACAACTGTAATCAACTTTTTAAAAATAATGGACCTGGTAAGGCCTGGTGGAAACGTTTCATAAGAGATCATCCTGATTTGTCTTTTCATGTGCCTCAAGCCTTGTTAGAGGCATATGCACAGAGAGCCAATCCAATTATTATTAGAGATCATTTCGATAAACTCCATAAAATAATTGAACAACATTCACTTACCGCTGACCAAATCTGGAATATGAATGAAACCAGTTTTGTTATATCCCCCAAGATACAGAAAGTCATTGCAACAAAAGGTTCTCACTAAATATATAAAGTTTCACATAAAAACTCTCACGAACATATTTCTGTTGTTCTGACAATTTCAGCTGCTGGCGGCTACATACCACCCTTAATTATTTACAAGAGCATTCGCACAATTCCCAATTTATTAGATGGTGCTCCAGCTGGCACTATTATAGGCTTTACCGAAACAGGGTATATGAAAGAAGACCTGTTTCAAATATATATCGAACACTTTATTAGTTCTATTCCTCCTCGACGCCTAGTTCTTCTAACTCTTGATGGCCACAAGAGCCATATAAATTACACAAGCATCAATTTTTGCTACAAAAATAGAATTCTTCTATACACCCTTCCTCTGCATACAACCCATATCCTTCAGCCATCTGAACTTCCATTTTCCAAACTAAAAGCCAAATACAGCAAGGCTTGCAATAAGCTTCATAGTGAGAGTGGTGAATTAGTAACCAAACACACGTTCGCCAAAATGTTTGGTCCAGCATATATAAAAACTTACACACCTGACATAATTATTAATGCTTATAAAGCTATGGGAATTTGGCCTTTTAATCCTAACGCTATTAATCCAGATCGTCTTGCTCTCTTTATATATACAAAATGAATTGATGTTTTACCTTCATCCCAACCAACCGATCAAGAACTTCTTTCAAATGCCGTATCATCATCTTCTCAACAAAATTCCTCTATATTATCTAAAGCTGTCCATTATTCCTCTATATTGTCTCAGGCTGTTCATTATTCCTCTGTATCGTCTCAAGCCATCCATTATTCCTCTATTTCGTCTTCTCAACAAAGTCATTCTTTTACTCAAACTAGTACTACAATAAAAAATGAACTTTTAAAAACAGAAATAGCTTTTCTAAAGAATGAAAATAAAATATTAAAAGAGAAACTTGAAACATTTAAAAATCCCGGTATCTGCTCACTAAAACTAGCTCTTAAGTATTCTATTTTCCGAGTATCACAAGCAACTGAATCAGATCCCCTACAGGCAAAAAAGAGAAAAACTCTCCCCTTCGCTCGACTTCTTACTAATGAGGAATCTATACGAGCATTAAAAGAAATAGATGAGTTAGCAAAAAACAAAGTGGAAAGCACAAAACAAAGAAAAGAAGCAGCTGCCCAAAAACAAGCTAATAGAGAAGTAAAGAAAGCACAAAAAAAGGCTGAAATAGAACGAAAAAAGGAAGAATGTCTGCATAAAAAGAGTAAAAAGAATATAATTAATGTTAACGTTAATCAAAGTTAATCTTTGATCATGTGGTCATATGTATCGTTCAGATATAAGTTACTTTTTTGATGTAGTTTATAGTGTATTTATATAGAGATATTAAGAATACGATTTATACAGTACACTGCAGTATATAGATCCATTAATATGCGTAGTGCACCAGAATGCCTCCTGTTAAGAAAAAACATAACAGTTTTTCGATAGTTTTTGGAAGGTCGAAAATCTTTTTTTTTATAGTAAAGCCTTTTTTTTTGTTTTACTAATAGGTAGTAAATTGTGTTTTTAGTTTATTTCAATAAATCTTAAGAACAACTACATTTTTCCTAAGAATTTTTACTATTAGCACTCTTAGGTGCGTCAGAATACCCGACCCTCCCTTATACTTAGAATATTACTAATTAATAAAAAAATTGCCAGTTTGGTTAAGTAATTAACTGCTTATTAACAATAAAAAAAAAATAATAATAATACTAATAGTACAATAATAATATTATTATATATTGTATCTATTCTAGTTATGCATTAAAGGTAAAACTCTTTAAGACTATATTGCTAGATGTGGCAACTTAGTGAAGTAGATCCCTTTAAATGATAGGTTGTGAGTTCAAAACCTACTAATAGTGAAATTTGGATAATCACTTATATAATATATAGATGATATTATAGTAATAGCATTCTGTTGATTAGTTGGAATAGAATACTTGTAACTATAATTATACCAGCATGACTGGCAGGTCTGAAGCATCTGTGAAATCTGTTACACGGAGAAATGCAAACTGGTATCAGGCAATGCAATCCTAAAATAAGTTCTTAGGCTGTGTAAATCTGTAGAGCTAAAAAATCAGAGCCACTTAAAAATTTTAAGCAGAGAAGTAACATGGATTTTCAACAGTACTACTGTAAAGGCTAAACCTAAAAAATAAATATTAATGTAAAGGCATTGAGTAGGCAAGAACCTCAGATAAGAGGTACTACCAACCAGGCTGCCAGATTTCAGACCAGAGAAAAAAGATATTAGACTGGTCTCAATATACCAAGAACAGGTTACAGTCCTTCTAACACAGATCGAATGAATGAATAAAGAGTGAATAATAGGTAAATAATAGAAAAAAAAACTGCTATTATTCTACCCTATATCCACCAAATAATGGCAACATAACAGCAGCATAACAGCAGAATAACAGTAAAATAATAGGAGGTTTGTCAATATGAGTAACATAATAGTAACATAATAGCA